AGCCGGTGCCGCCTTTCGGATGTTGCGCTCTTCGTTCAGGAGCTCAAGCAACTTTTCGGCCCACGAGATCCGGTTGCGGATGCCGTTAACCACCTCGAGAATCTCACCTTCCGAGACTCCGGCAAAGCAACGCGATACACCTTGGAATTCAACCAGTATGCGGGTCGCACAGGATGGAACGAACGAGCCCTTTATCATCAGTACTACAAAGGACTTCCGAACCGGATCAAGGACGAATTTCCTCGTATGGGCAAGCCAACCACCCTCATTAGTTTGCAGCGAACCGCCCAAGAACTTGATCATCGCTATTGGGAGCGCCAAAATGAGATCAATCGCGAAAAGCGCAAAGACAACGCCAACGGCAAGTCCGGCACCAGCAACAACAACAGCAGCAACAAGCTCCGGCTCATCAAACTCCAAAGGCAACTCAGCCGGGTCGTCTTCCGGCTCCGGCTCTTCGAACTCCAAGTCTGGCTCCAACTCCAGCAACAACAGCAAGGATAAGGATAAGTCAAAATCCAAAGGCTCTTCTTCGGATAAGCCAAATCCTCTGGCTGACAAGTTGGGTGCCGACGGAAAGCTCAAGCCTGAGGAACGTGAACGCCGGCTCAAGGGAGGCCTCTGCCTCTTCTGCGGCAAAGCTGGCCATGTTGCTTCCGACTGTCGCAAGCGTAACTCCGCCAAAGGTCGCGCCTCGTCTACTACGGCCGCTCCTCCTTACACCGCTTCCGCACCTGCCGCTCCGGCTGCGAAGGACACTAAGTCCGGAACAGCAAAAGAGTAAGCAGCCCTCCGCCTTCGGCATTGCCAGAGGGTTGCGGTTGCTCTCGCAATGTCCCCAAAGAAGTTCGCCTTAATGCCGCAGCACTATCCGACCCCGACTCCCTCACGCTCCCTGTTACATTACACTCACGATCTACGGTTCCTGCCACCGGCTTGGTAGATTCTGGCTCCATTTCATTGACACTAATTTCGTATCTATACATAATGTCTCCACTTATGATATACCTCCTTTAGCCTTACGCCTCCTTGATGGGACTGTTAACACTTGGATAACCCAAGCTGCCGACATCCCTATCCGATATCCGACCGGCGACATTCTCTCCTCGACCTTCTTTGTCACTAAACTGGATTCTTCATGTGCCCTAGTGTTTGGATACAATTGGCTGCGTAATTACAATCCGTTGATTGACTGGACCGCAGGCCTTTTACATTCTTTCCGACGTCTTCCGCAATCCGAGGCTCTTCCGAGTCTATCGGGCCGTTCGGCTTCCGCCTTACCGCCCACTCCAGTCGTTGCTGAGTCACTTCCT